TTTTGGATTATATGCAAATGGCAATGGATTTGTTTGGTTATGGTTTTGTCTTGATAGGTTATACTACACCCTAGTTTACTTGTCATTAGGTAGACAATCTACACTTGATTAATCAATCCATCATCATGATTGAAATTTGTGTTATCACATTGATGTGTGCTCTCATTGGATGCATTTGTGGATTGGTGAGATAGGTTAAGCCTCAAGATTGGTGTGTTGTCCTACACGTAGTTTACTTGTTGGTTAGGTAGGCAATGCATTACAAATGAATTGGATGATCATGCTTACATATGCAAATTGTGCCATTGATTGTAGCTACATTTTAATTACAACAATGTTCTCCCCATTAATGGAAACCAAGTGGTTAATTGCATGAGCTTAGTGGTGCTTCCAATAAACCCTAAGAATTTTCTTCTATCTCTTAAACCCCTAACTCTAACTTAGTTTATTTTCATTGCATTTTAATTTAATTGTTCACTAGCTTAATCAACCAACCATCTATTTTATTCTCTCGTTCTCTCTCTTATGGTAATCACTTGTTAAAACCAACTGTCTTATTTAAATCCAAGCCAAAGGTCTCTTGGGTTCGATCCCTTCTCACTTCATACTACATAGTATAAGTGTCTAGCGGTTTATAAATGTAAACTATGATGCCCGCTTGATACCATTTCCAAAACCAAAGTGCATGCATTATTTTGTACACACGCTTAGGTCGCATCAGTACCTTGTTACACACTCAGCCGTCTCACCCTCTGCACACAACCAAGCACAAGAATGGACACTAGTTTTCACAACTAATAGACATACTAGCTGATTTCAGTGCACACACATACTCCCCCTATCCTAAGCACCCTTGCTTGGACCAACAAAGCTCATATAGCTCACCACATACATCATTGTAAATGATAAACAAGATAATAAAACTTCTTCTTCAAGTGGAACAGTTTAAGCAATACAAAATACCAAGTTACTGCTTCAAGATCAATAAACTGCTGCAGCAAGGGATTGAAGGATAAAATTGGAATTTCCTTCGAGATTAGTTCACCTATAGCTTCCACAGTCTTAATTTACTGTAATACTCATGCTAACATCCTTAAGCAAGTTAGCACAGCATGAGTCTATATCAATGTTCAATCTCAGTTCAAAAATAAGCACAACTCAACTCAGTTTTAGAGGTTTTGCAAGGTCACAACCACAGTCTGCCAAAGTTTTGCCCCACAGCCAATTTCAATAGCTTTGATTCATCCAAATAGACTTGCTAGCACATAGATAGTTCATAGAATAGTTAGCCTTAAAAATTTTGCACTTGAATCACAATTTATGCAGAAAAACAGGCTTATCAACTGATCTAAGAGCTCAAAATTCATTTTAGCATGTTTCAGTTCAAAGCAAACTATTGAGCAAGTGTAAATAGCATAGTTATACCTGTGGCAACCCTCAGAAATGACCACAGCAACTTGGAACTCAGATTCACTACTCAATCCAGCCCTTTCTTCAGCAATTTGAACAGCAGCAGCATCTCAGCACATTGATCACACACAAGGCTTAAGTCAGTGGGTTTTTCTAGCATAAATCATCTTTACAAATCACAGGAGAACTTTGTTCAATGAAAAGGAGCTCGAGATTTTCTTCTGCAGCTTGCTTTTAATCTTTATAAAAGGCCATTAACCTTAAAAAAACACCTATAGCAGCATATATCTATTTCAGTGAAAATGCTAGACTACACCTCTCTTAATTCAATGCTATCACCTTTCAACCAATGATTGCATAAGAATAATTCTGACATTCCCTTAATGAAAAGACAATATTGCCCTTGACATCTCACCAAATAGTGACACTTCATGCATCAGTAAGAACAGTTCATACAAGTGAGGACACATTGACATTTGCCTTTGCTTAGCTACTAAGATCTACAACACCATTGGAGGACACTATATACCTAGACCACAGCCACGTGTCACACTCCTGAAAATACTTGAAAAGTTATACAAACAAACCTTATACCAGCTGTAAATTACATTCAGCAAAATCCTGTTGTTGAAGCTGTGTTAGACACAATGTAGGCTCACCACAGTAGTTCAGTGCAATGTAGTTATCCAGCCATACGAGTATCCATAGAATACATCAGGGAAAATACAAAAGTACCCCTAAAAGCTCCTGTGACAAGTTCCTTATATGCTGATCCTGACTGAAACCATTCAATTTGGCTAAAACAAATGTACCAGCGGTGATGAATTTAAATCATGCCAATGTAAAAAGACTGTCACTGCAATATAAATGTCAATGCTGCCCAAGTGATATATGCTAACCCACAATATAGATAGAATATGCACTAAAGCACACAAAACCAAAGTTTTGACATTAAACAGACAAATAGGACTTAGAGGATCTTAGGACCAACAATCTCCCCCTTTTGCCTTTAATGACAAAAGATTTGATATGAAATAAGGCCTCCAAGTATAGTGATCCAGCTAATAGAAGGAGAACAACCCAACACTCAGCAAATGATAAGAATAGCATGTGACACTATCCTTATTTCAGTCATTTCTCCCCCTTTTTGACATTGAAGGTCAAAAGGGAGCAGGACCAACAATAGTAAGGTCAAAGAGGTGGGGGAACAACCCTTAGAAGATCTCGAAGGGTTAAAAATCTACGAGGAAGAAGAGGCTTATTCATGATGTCTGCAATTTGATCTGCTGTTGGTAGATAAGTAATATCAAGAAGCTCTTTTTGAACCTTGTCTCTGAGAAAATGATACCTGATATCTATATGCTTGCTTTTCTAATGCAATGTGGGATTTTTACTGATGGCAATAGCACTTTGATTGTCACAAAAGAGCTTGGGAGGCATGGAGAAGTGAAGGCTAAGATCTGTCAGAGTAGACTGCATCCAAAGTAATTGTGAACCAGCTTGAGAGGTAGCAATATACTCAGCTTCTGAGGTAGAGAGAGAGACTGTGTCTTGTTTTTTGCTAAGCCAAGAATGTAATAGTAGTCAGAAGTGCTTTTTCTGTCAGGTAATGATCCACCCCAATCAGCATCTGAAAATGCAACTATAGTCATTGTTGGAGAAAAAATATAATATAGACCATAAGAGATTGTGCCCTTAACATATCTGAGAATGCGTTTGGCAGCCTAGAGATGAGACATTTTAGGATTACTTTGAAATCTGGCTACCAATCCTACTGAGTACATGATATTAGGTCTGGAAGCTATGAGATAGAGTAGACTGCCAATGATAGATCTATAAAGTGTGGATGGAACTACTTCTGAGGTACAATCAAGTGACAGTTTAGTATTTGGACACAATGGTGTTGAAACAGGCTTGCTATCATTCATGTTGAACTTCTTGAGTAATTCTGAGGCAAAATTCTGTTGTGAAATAAAAATTCCTTTAGATGTTTGAGCAATTTGAAGTCTTAAAAAATACCTGAGAGTGCCCAAGAGTGACATTTTAAACCTTGTTTTCATGAGATTGGCAAACTCTGATGCTAATGAAGTGTTGGAACCACAAAACATGATGTCATCTACATAGATTTGAAGAATTAGAAACTGGTCTTGATGTATCCTGACATACAAAGTACTGTTAACTTTGCCTCTATGAAAACCTTGTTCAATTACGAACTAATGTAACTTTTCATACCAGGCCCTGGGAGCTTGCTTAAGACCATACAAGGCTTTGCTTAGTTTGAATACATGAGAGGGATATTCAAAATCTTCAAAACCTTCAGGCTGCTCTAGATAAACTTCCTCACTTAGGTCTCCATTTAGAAAAGCAGATTTGACATCCATTTGGTACACCTTGACCTGTTTATGACATGCAAAGGACAACAGCATTCTTATGGACTCCATTCTAGCCACAGGAGCAAAAGTTTCATCATAGTCAATTGCAGCTTGTTGTGAATATCCTTTACACACCAACCTTGCTTTATTCCTGATCACAGCTCCTTTTTCATTCATCTTATTTTTGTAAATCCATTTAGAGCCAAAAACATTTTTGTTTGCAGGTCTAGGTACCTGTGTCCAAGTATCATTTTTGTTAATTTGATCCAGCTCTTCTTTCATGGCTACAACCCAATCCTCAATCTTCTTAGCCTCATAGTAGGGTTTAGGTTCAATAGATGACAACATTACAAAGTGGCTGTATTCTTTGTTATCTTCAGCTTCCAACTCAGTTAACTTCTTCCTATTCCTTGTTTGAACTCCAGCTTGAGATGAACCAATAATGTTTTCAGCTTGAACCTGCTTTTGCAGCACTGGGTAAGTAGTTTCTTTTGAATTCTCAGGTTCAGTCATTGAAGAGCTGACTTCATTTGAACCAATTGTATTATTGCTGTCTTCAGGCAGAATCACTTGAGGATTTTCATCAAATTTTACATGGATTGACTCAACCACCTTCGAGGATCTAAGATTGTAGCGTCTATAAGCCTTGCTCTTTGTAGAATACCCCAGAATTATACCTTCATCAGATTTTGAATCAAACTTCCCCAAACTGTTAATGTGATTAAGTATATAACACTTGCTGCCAAATATTCTGAAATAGTGTATTGTTGTAGGTCTTCCATGCCATAATTCAAAGGGTGTCTTGGTTGAATTTGGTTTAAGAAGAACTCTATTGATGATGTACACAGCAGTACTAACAGCTTCAGCCCAAAATCCTTTAGCCAAACCTTTTTCAAGCAACATTGTTCTTCCCATCTCTTGAACTGTTCTATTCTTTCTCTCCACAACTCTATTGTGTTAAGGTGTAGCAACAGCTGAGAATTCCTTTTTGATTCCCTTGTCATCACAGTAGTGCTCAAATTCTTTCATGGTGAACTTAGAACCAAAATCAGACCTGAGTTTCTTCACAGTGCAGCTCCTTTCATTTTCAACAAGGTTGAAAAACTTAATAAAGTGTGTAATAGCCTCAGACTTTTCTTTCAGAAAGTAAACCCATACCATTCTACTGAAGTCATCAATGAGTAGCATAAAATACTTACTACCACCAACACTTGTGGTTCAGGTAGGTCCACAAAGATCCATGTGTATCAGGTCAAGTGCCTTAGAGGAGTTGATTTCCTTGGAATGGAATGAAACTTTAGTTTGTTTTCCTTGTTGACATGCTTTACAAAGATGATCATCCTTAAAACAAATGTCAGGCAGACCTTTAACAGCTTTCAGCTTCAATATCTTGGACATGTTCCTTGAATGAAGATGGCCTAACCTCTTGTACCACAACTTAGCTTCATCACAGGTTGTTAAGTTACATTGGGTGACCTGACTTTCTTCAGTGACTGTGTAGACATTTCCTAAGGATTTACTTGCTGAGAACAAAACTTGTTTTGATTCCAGATCAATCACATTGCATCTTTCTTTGTTAAAGCAGACTTCCTTCCCACTATCACACAATTGACTTACACTTAGGAGATTATGTTTAAGCCCTTCAACCAATAGAACTTCTTGAATCTCTGGTAACTCTTCAGACTTACTCACAATGCCAATTCCAACAATCTTAGCTCTTTGATTATCCCCAAATATAACATTTCCACCATTAAACTGCTGTAAGGAGTTAAATTTTGAGCCATCACCTGTCATATGTCTCGAACAGCCACTGTTAACATACCATTTGTCCTGAGTATTACAGGCTTTAAAAGCTGTATACACAAGAAGACTTATAGAGTTCAACTTTTTGGGGATCCACATCATCTTAGATTTCACCACTGACCCCTTTGTCTTTAACTTTCATTCCTTGAGTTAGGTCTGACTTCTTCATATACATCTTAGTGATCTTAAAGTTCCTTGCAGCTGATGTAACAAAGTCTCTCTTATTGAAACTCAAAGGATATTGAATGTTGTTAAAAATATCAAACCTTGATCTCAGAGGTTTCATAATGGGATATCTTGCATATACTTCTCCAGTGGTGGCCTTCACAAATGTTGAGTGTTTCTGACTAATCTTACTAGCTGAATCACATACATATCCAATTCCAGTCTTCCCAATTTGCTTAGTAGATTGTTTCTAAATTTCAGCCATTTTTAGAGATCTCTCCTCAAGTATGGTAGACAGTTCTTCCTTGCATATTTTAGTAGACCACTGAGAGTTACTTTGAATCTTGAGTATGCTTAGGAAAATAAGGGAAATTGAACACATAGTTGACAATTTGAGTTTTAAGTGTTTGGTGAGAATTTGTCTAGACCTTAATAGTTCTGAATTTAGCTTTCTGATCTGAGATTTTTATTGATTGCACTTTACAGCAAGTCTTTCACATTCTTCCAGAATTTCCTCAATCTCTGTGTCAGTATCTTCTTTAGTTTCAACAGACTCTTTTGATGGTTCTAAAATGGCCATGAATAAACATTCATCTTCTTGATCTTCTTTAAGTTTCTCTTTTTCTTCAATGGCTGTTTCCCAGTCTGAGAGTAAGGTTTTTCTTCCAAACTTTCCTTTGTTGTTAAGTCCTTCAAACTTTCTCTGAGTTTTCCCTTTAGAGTTAGGACACTTGGATACAATATGACCAGGCTTCCTACACCCATAGCATGTTAGATTCTGCAACTGAGATTTCCTTTTAAACCTGAATTTTCTGAATTTCTTAGCAAGGTAAGCCACTTCATCCTCTTCAAGATCATCTTCTAATTTAGACTCATCTTCTTCAACATTCTCCTTGGCTTTGAGTGCTGTTTCTCTTCTATGTAAAGTAGGAGGACCAACTCTTATCTCATAAGCTGTGAGAGATGCTTGTAGTTCATTAATCTTCATGTTAGACAAATCTTTGTCTTCTAGAATAGTAACCTTGGCATTGAATCTGGAAGTGAGAGATCTAATAATTTTCTCACACACATCAGAATCTTTAATATCTTCACCAAGAGCTCTCATATTGTTTACAAGATTATTGATTTTAAACTTATATTCTGCAATGGTTTCTCTTTCTTCCATTTTACAAACTTCATATTGAACCGTGAATAGCTGAATTTTGTTTTCCTTTATGACCTTATTTCCCTCATGAGCTGCTTGAAGTGAATCCCACATTTCTTTGGCTGTCTTACAATTCTTCACTCTGGTAAATTATTGCTGCTTCAAGGCACATAAAAGAACATGTTTAGCTTTCCCATCATTAGCTACAACTATCTTGTCTTCAGCAGATGGATTTTCAGGATTAAGAATAACAACACCATGTATGGTAGCATGCCAAACATCATAGGACTGAGACATCAAAAAGGCTTCCATTTTAGTTTTCCAAGAATCATAGTTTGAGCCTTCAAAACCAGGAGCTTTGTTAATAACTTGACCTTCATCCATAGCTAGGACCAACTGCAGGCTTGTTAGACCTTTTTAATGCAAACCCAAGCTCTGATACCAATTGATGGACCAAGAGGGGGGGTGAATTGGTTAATCTCTTTCTTAACAGACTTAATGAAGTAATTCAGCAAGCAAACAATAAGTACTTAAAACAGTATTTACAAGGAAACCCTTTCAACTAGGGAAAACCTTAGTTCTTGGCCATGGCCAATGAAGATCACTACTAGCTGTATGTACCTTGTTACACACTCAGCTGTCTCACCCTCTGTACACACCCAAGCACAAGAATGGACACTAGCTTTCACAACGAATACACACACTAGCTGGTTTCAGTGCACACACACACTCCCCCTGTCCTAAGCACCCTTGCTTGGACCAACAAAGCTCATATAGCTCACCACATACATCATTGCAAATGATAAATAAGATAATAACACTTCTTCTTCGACTGGAACAATTTAAGCAATACAAAATACCAAGTTACTGCCTCAAGATCACTAAACTACTGCAGTAAGTGATTGAAGGGTAAAATTGGAATTTCCTTCAAGATTAGTTCACCTGTAGCTTCCACAGTCTTAATTTACTGCAATACTCATGTTAACATCCTTAAGCAAGTCAGCACAGCATGAGTCTATATCAATGTTCAATCTCATTTCAGAAATAAGCACAGCTCAACTCAGTTTTAGAGGTTTTGCAAAGTCACAACCACAGTCTATCAAAGTTTTGCCCCATAGCCAATTTCAATAGCTTTGATTCATCCAAATAGACTTGCTAGCACATAGATAGTTCATAGAATAGCTAGCCTTAAACATTTTGCACTTGAATCACAATTTATGCAGAAAAACAGGCTTATCAACTGATCTAAGAGCTCAAAATTCATTTCAGTATGTTTCAGTTCAAAGCAAACTATTAAGCAAGTGTAAATAGCATAGTTATACCTGTGACAACCCTCAGAAATGACCACAGCAACTTGGAACTCAGATTCACTACTCAATCCAGCCCTTTCTTCAGCAATTTGAACAGCAGCAACATCTCAGCACATTGATCACACACAAGGCTTGAGTCAGTGGGTTTTTCTAGCATAAATCATCTTTACAAATCACAGGAGAACTTTGTTCAATGAAAAGGAGCTCGAGATTTTCTTCTGCAGCTTGCTTTTAATCTCTATAAAAGGCCATTAACCTTAAAAGACACCTATAGCAGCATATATATATTTAAGTGAAAATGCTAGACTACACCTCTCTTAATTCAATGCTGTCACCTTTCAACCAATGATTGCATAAGAATAATTCTAACATTCCCTTAATGAAAAAACAATGTTGCCCTTGACATGTCACCAAATAGTGACACCTCATGCATCAGTAAGAACAGTTCATACAAGTGAGGACACATTGACATTTGCTTTTGCTTAACTACTAAGATCTGCAACACCATTGGAGGACACTATATACCTAGACCACAGCTACGTGTCACACTCCTGAAAATACTTGAAAAGTTGTACAAACAAGCCTTATACCAGCTGTAAATTACATTCAGCAAAATCCTGTTGCTGAAGCTGTATTAGACACAATGTAGGCTCACCATAGCAGTTCAGTGCAATGTAGCTATCCAGCCATACGAGTATCCATAGAATACATCAGGAAAAATACAAAAGTACCCCTGAAAGCTCCTATGACAAGTTCCTTATATGCTGATCTTGACTGAAACCATTCAATTTGGTTGAAACAAGTGTACCAGCTGTGATGAATTTAAATCGTGCTAATGTAAAATAACTGTCACTGCCATATAAATGTCAATATTGCCCAAGTGATATATGCTAACCCACAATACAGATAGAATATGCACTAAAGAACACAAAACCAAAGTTTTGACATTAAACAGGCAAATAGGACTTAGAGGATCTTAGGACCAACAGAGAGCTATCCTCCATTTAAAATGATTAACTGAGATGCTCTTAATCTTTATTTTGAATGACTTGATAAGGCTAATTCCAGTTGTGAGATAATTTTTATCACGCTAGCCTTTTGAGCAGAGTTGGATTGTCCCAGGTCTACTTATCCAGAGATGATACTGATTTCCCCAATTGATTGCTGCCCCAAAATGTGCTTATTAGGGTTTGTCCCTTCATTGGCAACGAACTTTTGTAAGTGACTCATTTGAATTAGATTCTCAATTTGATTCTTAAGGTCAAAACAATCATCCGTAGTGTGCCAATGATCCTGATGTAACCTGCAATACTTGTTTCGAGATCTTTTCACTGGATCAAACTTCATCTTCTGTGGCCATTTCAATGACGCATCGTCTTGGATCTGTAAGAAAATATGGTCAATTGACATATTCAGAGGAGTGTAGTCGGCATACTTATCTAAGTCCTTCTCACGATATGTCCTATCGCTTTGGCTAAAGAATGATCTCTTATATTTGGTATCTTTTTCATCCCCAATGCTAGGGGCACACCTCTTCTTGTCATCTCCTTCCTTTCCCTTCTGTGCATTCATGGTGTCTTCAACATTCATGTGTTTCTGGGCTCTGATCAACAACTCTGCCATGCTAGTAGAAGGTTCTTTTGATAAGGAAAACAAGAATCTAGAGGCTTGGAGTCCTCCTATGAAAGCGTTCAAAGCCACCTTGTCGTCCACCTCTTCTACCTGCAACATCTCTGTGTTGAATCGGGTGATGTATTCCCGGATCGACTCTCCCTTCTGTTGCTTCACAGTGAGCAAGTAGGTGGCCGGCCTCCTATGCCTTTAACCTGCAACGAAGTGGCTCACAAACTGCTTACTCAGTTCTTCGAAGGTGTCAATGGTTCCTGGCTTCAGCTTGTTGAACCAAACTCTTACCTATCCCTTAAGTGTAGTGGGAAAAGCTCGGCACATGATTTCATCTCGCACGGCGTATAAATGCATAAGAGCTTAAAAGGTCTCCAGGTGATCTAGGGGATCTTTGGTCCCATCGAAGCTTTCGAACGAGGGCATCCTAACCTTGCTAGGCATGGGGCATTTCATAACGGGAGGGCTGAACGGCAAGTTGGTCTTCTGCACCAGGTCATCTATGGCGGTAGAACCTTTCCTTTTCATAGCCTGCATTACACCTTCCATTTTCGCCTTGAGATCCTCGATCTGCAGGTCGAAATAGGTAACTTTCTCTGTTTTTTCCTTAACACAGAAGGTTGTGCCTATTTGAGGGTGGGGATTTCGCAGACACGGAGGCGGAGGAGGAGGTTCTCTGTGTCAGTTCCTGACTTGGCTTTGTTCTGCCTCGAACTCGTGAGGAGGATTGTTTTCTCGGTCCTCCTCGTTTTCTCCCCCCATCATTCAGATTGGGAGGATATAAGTCGGACAATTCTTGTTGAGGTGGTGGTCCCGCTGGGATAAGATGTTGCAGGATTGCTGTATTTTACTGGATCATCTGGTCCATACCCTGATTCAGAGTTTGGACCTGTAGTTCCAACGCTGCAAGCTGTTCCTGGTCATTCGGGACGTCTAGGTGTTTACTTGACCCTTCTCTTTGACTGGATCCCTACAACGATGTTTCTTCTCCAGTTACCATACCGGACGGCAAATTCATATCCCCAACCAAGTAATTTATTGATTTGAAGGAATCGTCGTTTCCCACAGATGGCGCCAACTGTTGGGGAAGAAATTCACGTGACCCGATACGACACTGTTTTCTTACAAAGAAGAGAGTATAAGATCGATAAATCTTGACGACACCGGTGTGGTGCCTGCCAAAAGTTCTCCGACGATCAAGTCAATCACCGGAGGTCTAAAAGAAAGCCAAGGATTTAATAATCATTTTTCGTCATACCTGATTGATTGGTGGAATCTCATTCTTATAGCCGCTCTCTCTTAGTTCGTTTGTGAAATCAGAGGAGATTCGTTTGTTACCAGATTTGTTGGGGATATGATCTACCCCTTTGAACTTCAAATTGTGCCAAGGTTATCCTTACCCTATTGAACCACGTCATCTTATCTCTGGTTTAAATTCTCCTTATCAGGTGTCATGATTCAAAAATAGCCGAACTTATATAACTTTCATTATAGATGTGATTGTAATTTATCCTATATTTTATATATTATACAATTTAACATATATAAAGGATCAGATTTTTTAAAATTTATATATAAACATATATCAATCATAACAATTTTATACCTACAGAAGTGTAGTGTTCCTTATCTACATAATAATAATTATAATAATTGTACTAATACATATTGCATGTTGTCATGTTGACCACCAAAATTAAAGTTCTAGAAACTGCAAGGGACTTTCAAGCTCAAGAAAAACAACAAACTCTTTCTTTGTATTTTCTCACTCTTTTTCCTTTCTTCTGGAAGTCCTAATTTTCGATGCCCTATTTTTTTTTTTTTTTTTTTTTTTGTAAATCCCCTTTTTTTCTCATTTTTCTTTTTCTCTTTATGTGATTTAATCTCACTGATAAAATAATTCGCGATCCTCTTTGGTCTACTAAATATATTGAACATGTTTTAAATTGGTCCGATAATCAAATCAGATAATATATTATGCTTATAGGATTCGAATCAAATCGATCACGATCCGATCCGATCCATTTACAGATTTAAATGAGATTCTGAAATGGGTTAGCCATTTCGGTTTTAGCTTCTTAGGCCTAAGTATTATGGTTCCTCAAACTAATAAGCCATTAAGTTCGGTCGATATAAAATAAAATAGCCTACTTATTAATTAATAAAAAAACTAAAGAGAGA